AGAGTAGCTCAAACCTTCTTGAGTTCTGTGGTTTACCCTTTCCATACAAATGCTTGTTCTAAAAGCTGAAGTTACCTTTACTGAAAAACAGGGAGAGTGAAAGCTCACGCTTCACTTTGGTTGTTATGCATGAATGAGCAGAAAGGATTTAAAGTGCTCTGACTTTTATAAAGGCTTGTGTTTCAAACCCCATCTCACACCTATTTGTATTGGTGTCCCATTACCAGCAAATCGGTGATCCGGCTATTTCCCATTACACTAAATGGTGTGTGGAGGCTGGGGAAGGGGAAGGGGGCCACTCAGGACTCAGTGGACAGGCAGGGATGGAAGGGCTTGTGGCGCGGGGTTAGAGACATGCACAGAGCGCTGCCCAACTAATGTTATCCCACCTTCCATTCAACCGGAAGCAAAACTCAGCAAAAACCCCTGCTGGGGGAGGGAAGGAAAGGGGTTAAAATTGTTCAAGATATGGTATAGGCATGTACCCATTCCCCAACGAATGTAAACAGTACCTATTGCAAACAGACAGTAACACAATAGGAAAATAACTGCTCCTTTACACATTGTTCATAGTCTTTAAAAACATCACGAATGGAGTAGACTCATCATTTTACCACCTCGAACTTCCTAGTTGAGCCATTTGCCCTCTAGCGACATATGTTATTCTACATAAACATCCTGCTTTAAGGTGACTTGTTATTCTTAATTCAGGATTTCATAAAGATAAACAACTCATTCTTAATGGAAGGAAATGATCACCTTTGCAAAAACAAAACACCCCACCTGTAGTAATAATAAAAAAGGAAGAGGAACAGGAGAACAGATGAAGTAAGAAGAGATTTTTGTTCCAGCAACAATAGAGGACTTTTACCCCTTCGCTCTAATTCTTTCTCTCGGGACTTGATTAGCAAATATTTGTACTGACCACAAAATTAACTGGAATTGCCTTAGTGTGGCCATAGAGGATAAAGTAACTGGCCCATTGTCCTAGTCAGTTTGGCCTTTATAACACATGTGCTGTGGATGGGGAGGCTTAAACAGAGAGCACTTACTTTACATCATTCTGGGGTCCGGGAAGCCCAGGATCGAGGTCCTCCCAGCTCCAGGTGGTGCTGCGGGCAGCTCCCTGGTGTGTAGGTGTTCATAGCCGCAGCTGGCAGGCAGCGTGGAGAACAGAAAGCTCTCTCGGGTCTTGTTTTACAGGGGCACTAATTAATTCCACCCTTAAAGGCTCCATTTCCTAAACCTACAGCATTGGGATTTGCCTTTAACACACACATTTTGGAGGGATACGAGCATTTGGTCCATAACACTTACACTGAGAGAAAACCTCTAATGTTAGTAACTGTCAGTTGTCGAGGGCGTTCAGAAGACTACTGGGTGTGACTCAGTGAGCTTTCTGTAGCTACGTGCTACGGATCTCCATGTGTCCATCCACACAGACACGTTTGTGGCTGGCTTGAAATGATGCAAATTGTGAGCATAGAGTTCACATGGACAATCAGACACAAAACACTTGCTAGCTTTCACAACTCAGCCTCTGAAGGTCCCCTGTTCAGATCCCTTCATGCCATGCAGAGTGGTAGGGAGGGGCTGAGCTGCCTGGGAAACCAGGTTGGTGTAGCTCTGTGCGGAGGCCTGGCGGGAGGGGAGAGACCCGAGGTGTGGTCGCGGTATGCTCAGGACGAGGCCTAGGTGGACGAGCTTCTGCTGAGGGTCACCAGTTACATACGCAGTGCTGCCCATTTCTGCCTCTGAGACACATTAACAGAGACACGGGTCCCTGCATATGAGGAAGACACACGCATGCAAGGACTCTTATCTCAGGCTTGGTGCCCTGCCCGGGAACTATCATTCGGTCCCTGATTCTAATGAACAGTTCCTAGGTCCTTCCTGAGCGCTGGGCATGGTAATACAGGCAGAGGTGACCAGACCAGACAGATAAGTCTCTGTCACCCAATGTGGGAGGAGGTGAGGGAGATCGGGGGGATGAGACTCACTACTAGGCTATGAACAAGGAAATAACATTCAGACTAAGTACAGCAAAGTACTTAAAATGCCCTTCTCTTCCCACTCTCACCTTCTTCCCAACCCCAGAGTATCACCTCTGAGAGACCCAGTGGCTTCCTCCTCCACCCTCCTATGCAAGGCCAGTGATCCTTCACTGCTATTGAACTGTTTTATTGCACTGACTTGTTTACCTACCTCTGCCCCACCAGCACCTTGCTAGATTTCAAACCTCTTTGAAATAAAAGTCAATTATGTCTTCTCAATCACTTTGTAGTTGTGTTTCCTGGTACACTGTGTGCTTCTGCCCACCACTGTGACTCCCCAGTCCCAGCACCTGACATAGCAACCAGTGCCAGTGAACCGAACGAGTCTGTTAGCCAAGGAGAGAAAGCTACATTGGTTAAGCATTGAACTGTTCTTGTATCACTCAAAGTACAGTGGGAAAACCCCCTGTACATCACTGACGTGATACCAGCTGTCCACCCAGGCTTTAGGATATCGTCCTCCGAGCTGTGCTCCTTTGTTTTAAGCCAGAGTTCTCCCTCTGTGTACCATTTTCTCAACTTATTCCTACAATTTAGGGCTTACATTGCTCAGGTGATGTCAGAAGGGAACCAGGGGACTGCAGAGTTGGAGATAAGAGGCACTAATAAAGACCTTCTCTTTTCCAGAAGCAGAGGCCTTGCTTCCAGAGTTAGAGCCACAAACTGCCCCTCTCAGATAACAACACAGCCCTGAAGAACCTACTGAATAATTTGAGGATTGTGGAATTACCGGAAATTCTAGTCTTGGAAAGCACACAGTGACCTAACAGTAGCTTTGGGCCATCTGTCTGGGCACTAACCGGCCCAGGTCTTTATTTAATGTCTCTTGGGGGCTAGGATTCCCGAGGACGATGGAAAGAAGGCCCTTAGCATCTCACTAGAGAAGAGTGTGGCAAGATGATGCGGGAGCCACGTGTTGCTAGTGGGTCTCTACAGGCCAGGCAGCAAACTGTGGAGCCGGCTGCATGGAGTGTTGATGAAAAATGTCCTCCCTTGGTACCAAAGCGGCCACAGTAAACTCTTTCTAAAAGGTTATTAGGCATTAGGTTCCAGACTTGAATTTCATTGAATTACACCTGAAAATATGATGCTCCTCCGGAAGCCCACCACATTTACTGCCCTGATGTTCTACTATGCATTCCCTGGTGATTTTTCAGGCACAAACAGTCCTAGAACATGAATGAGCTCCTGAGTGTCTTCCTTCTACCTTCAAGGACAGAATCCAGTGGAGCACAGGAGACCCACAAATCAAATGGAAATCTGAGGGTTCTGCAATTAACCAGCACACATCTGCTATACCATGTGGCCCTAGACTTTTTAAAGGTAATTTTAGCAAAATGTATTGAGTCGTAAATATTATTTCTTGTTTTTATTTTGCCAGTAAAAAATCAGAATCAGAGAAATGCCAAATTAGCGAAACTCAAAGAAACATGTTATTAAGGGTAGCACTTTTCCTGAAGTTTTATACAAGAACAAAAGAGCTCAAAAGATTTACAGGACATGTAAATTTATATTAATACAGGGCACATCCTGTTTATTATTATGGTATCCATAATTCCTAAAATTTAAAATAACTATAATGTGTTGGGTACATAACAGGTGTCAGCCAATCAATTAGGTGTTTCATTTAATTATCTAATTTCATTCTCCTGAAAACACTATGTGCTAAGTATATTAGTCTCACCTTCACAAATAGGGAAATTGGGACTCATGAATTTTAAGTAATTTGCTTAAAATATTGCAGGTATAAAGCTAAAAAGCCAGGATTGGAAATCTAATGTATATGGATGAAAAATTTGCATTCTTTCCAATATATACATTGTCTTGAGAGAAATTATAGATCAACCACTATTTTTCCTTTGTCAAAAAAATAATTTTTAATGATAAGACTGACACCTCAATTTAATGTTGAACAATGCAGAATTTAAAAGGATTAATTCACAGTAATGCTTTTTAAAGATTTAATTTCAATGCATTTAATTTATTTAACTTTATTTACATAACCAAATCTACACTTGTTTTCTAGGAGAGCAATATGTTAAGTGCATGCATGTGCCATTGGTCTCAGTAACATCGGTACATTTCTAAGTCCCAAATGCCAGCTCACTGTGGGCGGCACATGTGCAAACACAAAGTATGCTCAGCCCAGACCAGGAGAGCTTGAAAAGGTCCCCTAACATGTCCTTCTGCAGGGACTTAAAACCCTGCGCATCATTGACATTAAAGGACAGGTGAATGGGAAGAGTTGGAACTCAGGCCAGAACAGAGAATGGGTTATAATAACTGTGCCAAATTATCTTTCAGCCATTACAAAATAAACTGAAGGTATTTCCTCAAAAGTCACCCAAAACAGACGTGCTAAACATCTCTCCCCATATTTAGGTGACATTCCATTCACTCTAGGGCATGATCACCTAAGCGACTTTCAGCAAATCTTATTCTACCATCCTGCTGACTGTAACATTAGTTATTTTTCACAGATATGATTGCAGTTTCATGTCCCCATTTAAAATAACCATAATCACAGTTCAATTACCTCGCTAGATCTCATGGTGGGACGTGATGTCCCATAGCTACCTAGTGAGATCAACTGGCTTTTGTGAGTCTCTAAGTCACTTCTGTTTTAGTGCTTCTGACTTCTTCATTTGGGCAGAGCAGACAAGAAAAGAGAAATGTAGGATTATATATTATACACACACACACACACACACACACGCACGCACACACACACACGCAACCAGTGACATTAAGCATAATTCAGAAGTAGCTCTTTACTGAGCCCCATAACACAATTTTCCCTGTAATTTGTGAGTCACGTTTACTTTCACTTGCTTATTTTGTGGGAAGGACAGCATTCGATTTTCTCCTCTGCCTTCGTGTGTTCTTTGCAAACAGGAGAGGAGCAGAAACAGAGCAACCTGGAGCAACTGGTTTCTTTGGGGTTACCTTGTAATTTCTGGCTGTACTCGGTCCTGTCCGACTGGCTCCTCCTCAAGGCCCCTGAGTGGTCCCCAGAAACACCGCCCTCCACCATGGTGTCCGTCTTCCTCCTCTCCAGCATGTACAGTCTGGACCGCAAGAAGGTCAAGTTCTTTTTCTTGGTGCCCACATTCTCTTTCCCAGTGGGGTCTTTGGGCTCCATGGAAGCACAGTGGACTTCAGAGGTGTACAGGAAAGGCAGGGCAGTAAGGTGCCTCCGTGAGGACTGAAGCCACCAGGAGTGAGGAAAGAACTCACGGCTTCTCTTCAGGTTACTTGGCTGTGGCTGCCACCTCTGCAGAGTCCCAGAGCTCCACCCCTATGAGGTCACTCTGTTTCATGCCTAGAATCCAACAGGGGAAGCTGCCACCTGTTACCTGAGAGACCTGCAGCCCAGAGCTAGGCAAAGCGGGGATTGCGCTGTCACATGCTACCGAAGTAAACAAAAATCCCATTGTGTGGGATAAGGGCTGGGGCCTGGGGAGTGGGGAGGAAAGGAACAGGGTGGGGCAGGGAGCAAGACAGCACTGTTAGCACAATCCGCAGCTCAGGTGCAGTGTGTGCCTAGGGGTGTGTCCAGGGGAGCTGGGACACTGTGCTGTGGTTTCCTCCGGGAGCCAGGCTGCAGCTTGTATGCTGCTTTGGCTATAGTCGCTGCTGTGAGCCAAGGCAGTGCGCTGCTATGAGAATTTGCATCAGCAACTCAACTAGGAAACAAGCATTTTTAATTTTCATGGTGTGTGCTTAACAAGTAATGCTTCTGCCTTTAAATGTGGGACAGTCAGAGAGTATTTACTAAAAACACTCTTGCCAAAGTCTGATCCGCATGAGTAAGAAGATAAGGGTTCGTTCACGCTGAGAGCACATCTCAGTTCACATCTGGAACAGCCGGGACACGGGGGATGCCTCTGAGCCTAGGCCTCTGGGAGTTCTTAGCCCAGCCAGAAATCAGTCCTTTCCTGGTCCCAGCCCTGTCCTTCAGCATCCTGATCCTCAGGAACATAAGTGTTCAGCTAAGGTTTCATTTCTTTGCTGTCTCTTCCGTGTATGTCTCATCTGGAGGGCTAGGAAGGACAGCTCACTCTGGGAAAGTAAGAGGAGGAAAACATTGAAATGTTAGAGGCCCATAGACAGAAAAAGTATACGGCGAGTGTGGAGAGGGAGGAAGGTGAAGGGCTACAGGCCCTGCATGAATCGTCCTGAAGTCGTTCTTGCTTGTATTTGCTGAGATTTCTCCTGGGTCCTCAGAAGCTCTGGGAGTGAGATGGAGGTTTTGTAAGCCCTCCTGAGGAAAAGAGGGACCGTAGGGAGGAAAATAGATTCTTTTCCGTTATAGAGTGCCCACCAAAACCCATCTGTGTGCTGCCTATTCGGAATCTTCCTGCACTCCCGTTAGATGAGACTTATAAATGAGGAAAAAAAGATAAATACAGTTTTCCCAGTTCAAGATGTGTAGGCTGAATGTAATTTGAGTAATTGTCATAAAATATAAATGACAAATCTCTACCTCGTAGAGACATCTCTGCATAGCTTGGGATATTGAATGGCTTTTATTTAATGTAATTGATGGACTATTTTTAACAAGCCATCCTGAGTACATTTAATACTTTTAAAGGTGCACAATTCTCTAAGATCTAAAATGAACTTTTAACATTTATGTTAAAAATGTTTCAATTGTTTTGTAATATTACATTACACACGCACACACACACACACACACACACACTCACCCTTGTATTTGCCTAGTGATCCATATGGTATTGGTAAAATATTCACCCGAGTTATACTATTTCACAAGATGGTGATATAACTCTGCTCATGTATTTGTACCAAAATTTAGACATGATACCACTGCAAAGTTTTACAATTAAAAACCCATATTTATTGGAAATATGAAACTTAAGGGCATAGGTATGGGAAACTATTTCAATGGCCCATTAAAAACCAAACAGAAACCTAATAAAATCAGGCAGAAACCATTTACCGTGAATTAATGTTTAAAAAATTTAAAAATGCTGCAAATCTGACACTGTATCTCTGAGTCCTGGTGTTTGTTTGAGGCAGCATGTTGTTTTGAAAGGGTAGAAGAAGCTTCATTTGGGATCAGAGAAACACGCTGCACCAGATATGGTTGGGTGTGGCTCCAGATACAGGCAGTGTCAGTGATGAGCTGAGGTCGCTGGCGATGTCTGAAGGGCACATGTGTGAGTTCTGTGTATTTCTGTTTGATCAGATTGTCTAGATACATTTTTCTGCATTCGCCTAGTGTTTTGAGTGGATGAATCCTCACCCAGGCAAATGTGAAACTGTGCTATGATCAAACAGTTCGTTTACAGATCATTCTTATTGGAACAAATTTATATTTTTAAAACAAATATTAGAGTAGATCATATCCAAGTAGCCTCATTATATTTTTTGTTTTACTAGTTGTGATGACACATAGCATAGCAACTGTGATTTCAGTGGTGAATGTATATTTTCTTTATTCACAATAGTTTCCAAACTTAAAAATAATACAGCAATTCTCCAGCATTACCCTTTCTTCAGTCAATGAATGGGCCAGACACTGTCAGTTCTTTCTCAGTCTGCATTCCTACCCCGACCCCTGCCATTCCCTGCCACCTGAACCCTTCTTCTATTCAATGCAGCATTCAGCTCTGCCCATCCATTGCTAATTTTCTTTCCTCTTCTCCCCACCTCCCTTTCAGGAAAGGGAGGCCATGTCATCTCAGTCCTGGCAAGCAGGACCTTGGTGACAGTCTGCTATGATGAGGGGCAGGGCATTGTTTCTGGGAAAGCTTTTGCTACTCTACCAAAACGGGCAGGCACAGGTGGCTTCAGCCTTCTCCCTTCATCTCTGGACTGGACCCTAGGTGTAATGCCCAGAGCAGTCACAGCCATACCATGTCTTTGAGAACAACGAAGGACCCACAGGCTCTTCACCATATGCTACTGAACCAGCGCCAGCAGCATCCACCTTTAGACCTCTTCCCATTGGGTGAAATTACTCCCCTTCCCTCTGCCGTGGTGGAAGTTCTTCCTGTGAACATATCTCCAGTGGATTTAGGGCAGTGCATAGTGCACCTATAGATTTCTCAGTTCCCTTGCTCATATCCTTTACTTTCCTTAAGCCAGTGCATTTAGGATCTCCAGCATAAACCTTGATCTAGTTTTACTGGAAATGGAAACAGCTCAGAGAGATTTTGAGTGGGTGTCTTGTGGGAACATCAGCAAAGCAAAATAATAATATTTTTAATTTCTCTGGGCTTTCTAGTTTTTGGCAAAAGTTCAAAAGTATTTCAGTAGAAGAAGTTTATAATATTTAAACAAATAAAACCAAACACTGAGGCATTTCAATGTATTTTACTTGGAATGCAGAGCAAGCAAGTCCTGGTTCATTGCTAGAAAAAGCACCGGATAGTGAAGTCAAGACTCAGCTTTAGTCCTGGCCGAGAGCTAAGACAGCTTTGTTTGGTGAAGCTCTGTGTTGTTTCTAATGCTTTTTAAAATTATTTTTTATTCTCTTTAATTGTTTTTAAAAATCTTGCATTCTTATATCCGGTAATCTGAGCAACTTCATTGAAGATAACAGTATGTAATATAACAACCACTGTTCACTCCTATCGTCTTGATTTGAAACACTATCATTTTTCATGTTTTTTGTGTTGTTTTGTTTTTGTCTTTATTGTTGTTATTTTGTTATTTTTTTTCTCTTTAAAATAAAAAAAAGACAGCTTCATGACAGTACAAGTGACTTAATCACTCTAGGTCCCAAACTCTTCATCTATAAAATGTAAGGGCAAGTCAGTAATTAGTGCTATTCACCAAACATTCTTATTTCTCTGGTTTAGGCTCACAGGAATGTTACACTGCCCTGTACCTGCTTTGATTTATACCTGACTGTGTGACTAGCCTTGGTCAAACATGGCATGTTTGGCTAGAGCTTTCTTTCCCTCATCCACAGGGAGATCCGGGCAGCACTAAAATGACTCAGAGCAGACCCTGGCCCCTCTGTAATTCATGTGGTGAGAGAATGAAAGAATCCTTTGCTGTTTCAAAGTGCTTCAACACAGGGATTTTTTCATTACTGCATTATAATCTAGACTACACTTTAGATTGAAGGTGTAAGTTAAATTACACATCAATATGTTTTAGGTCTACCATTAGGTAATTTCAGGGTTCTAATTCCCAGCAATTGCTCTGAAAAAAGAGACTGAAGAGGAACTCAGAAAATGGAAAAATGTGCCCTGCTCCTGGGAAGGAAAAAACAATAAAGTCAAATGACCATATTCCCCAAACTCCAACACAGTCCCAACCAAAATACCAACAGTATATTTTACAGATCTAGAAAAAACAACCTATAAAATTCATATGAAGCCAGAAGAGACCTAGAATAGCAAAAGTAATTTTGACCAACAAGAACAAAGCAGGTAGCATAGCAGTACCTGACTGCAAGCCATACTATAAAACAATAGTGATAAAAACAGTATGGTGCTAGAACAAAAACAGTTATGTGGATCAGTGGAACAGAACTGATGATACAGAAACTTCCCAGACACATTTAGCTAGTTAATCTTTGACAAAGAAGCAAAAATATATGTTGGAAGAAAACCTATACAACAAGTGGTGCTGGGGAAACAAGTTATCTGTGTGCAGAAGAATGAAACCAGTCTCTTATCTCTTACCACACACCAAACTAAAATCAAAATGGATCAAAGATCTAAACATTAAAACAGAAACATCAAACCCATTGGAAGATAAAGTAAGTAAAACACTTGAAGACATAGGTGTAGAGAAGGATTTCCTAAACAGAAGCTCAATTGCACAAGAAATAACAGCAAGAATCAACAAGTAGAATCACATCAGACTAAAAAGCTTCTCTACAGCAAAAGAATCAGTCAGTAGAGTGCAGAGACAACCTACAGAATGGGAAAAAAATTGCCAGCTATTCCTCAGACAGAGGACTAATATCTAGAATATACAAAGAACTCAAAAAACTTAAACCACCTGAAATTTAAGATCCAGTCAAGAAATGCGCAAGAGAAATGAACAGGTACTTCACAGAGGAGGAAATACAAATGGCCAACAAATAGATGAAAAAAATGTTCAACGTCTCTGGCCATTAGAGAAGTGCAAATTAAGGCAATGCTAAGATTCCATGTTACTCTGGAAACAATGGCAATCATTAAGAAATCAAACAATAGCAAATGCTGGAGAGGCTGTGCTGAAAAGGGAACCCTCCTTCCTTATTGGTAGGAATGCAAACTACTACAACCATTACGCAAATCAGTATGGAGATTTCTCAAAGAACTGAAGGAAGA